GTTTTAAAATTCAGAGTAATTGGGGCTGAGAATGTAACTCAGTGGTAGATTGTTTTCCCAGCATGTATGAGACCCTAAGTTTAATTCCCCAGTACTGGGGTGGAACACCCTAAGGGTAATTGCTATATTAGTGTTTTTACTATTTGGATTTTTTCCATTGAAACTTACAAATAGTATCTTTAGTGAATGTACAACTTAATTTCCTAAGAATAAAGAAATTCAATTCTACAAGGAATGTGATGACTGCTATTATCCCAGAGAAGGGAGTTTATGCCAAAGACTTGAAATTTCACCTGCAATGTAATCTGTGAATGATCCCCCCCCCCAAAAAAAAACCTGTTTCAAAACCTTTGTACCTCAAGATTCTCCATTATATAATGATGGTGATGCCACATTATATTTACCCATTCTCCAGTTTACAGACATTCTGATAGCTTTCAGTATTTAGCTCTGACAGGATTTAGTATGAATGCTTTTTCAGCTCCAGTATATTTAACTAGACGTAAAATAAGTGGGTTGTACAGTAACTCTATGTTTCACTTTTTGAGGAATCTCATGACTGTTTCCAAGGCAACTGAACCAATTGCACATTCCCAGGAGTAGTGTGTGAGTTCCAGTTTCTCCATATCCTCATGACCAGTTGCTGATCATCAGTCTTTTTCTTATGGGCTTTTGATGGACATGAAGTAGTATATCCTTGCAATTTTTATTTGCATGTTGCTAATGACTAATGAGATTAACCATGTGCTTATTAACTACCCACATATTTTCCTTGCAAAATGTCTATTTTTTTTTAATTGGGCCTAATTTTTAATTGGGCTATTTGTCATATTGCTGTTGAATTGTAAACATTCTTTGTATATTCTGAATAAAGTCCTTTATCAGATATACGATTTTCAGAAATTTCTCCTATCCTTTAGGTTATCTTTTAATTTTAGCATTGGTCTCCTTTGAAGCACCAATGTTACAATTTTGATGAAGTCCAGTTAATCTATCATTTCTTTTGTACTTTTAGTGTTATACCCAAGAAATCTTTGCCTAACTCAAACTTAAGACAATTTCCTACAGTGTTTGGTAGGAATTTTGTAGTTTTAGCTCTCACTTTCAGGTCTCTGCTCTATTTGGAGTTAATTTTTATGTATTGTGGGAAGTAGAGGTCCAGCTTCATTCTTCTGCATGTGCCTTTCCAGTTGTTCTAGCCCCAATTATTGAAAAGATTACCCTTTCTCCTATTGAATTATCTTAGTACCCTTTGTCAAAAAAAAGGATGCATGAAGTCCTGGGTTTGACCTTCAACACTGAAAATTTCTTTGAAAAAAAGTTGACTGTGTGTATCAGGGTAAATTTTGGGACTTTCTGTCTGTCTTTCTTTCTTTCTTTTTCTATTTTGTCATATATATAAGTACTTATGCCACACCATTTCTTTTCAATCCCAGCTTTAACTGAGCTATGTTTGGCAAACTAAAAATTGTACATTTCAGTTGTACAACAAAGTGTTTTGATATAGGTATACTTTATATAATGATTTCTACAATAAAGCTGACTCACATAATCGTCAGACATAATTTCCATTGTTTACCTAATAAAAATACTCAAACTCGGGCTGGAGAGATGGCCCAGTGGTTAAGAACACTGACTGCTCTTGCAGAAGACATGGGTTCAAATCCCAGCACCCACATGGCAGCTAACAACTGTCTGTAACTCCAGTTCCAGGAGATCCGACAGCCTCTTCTGTCTTCCACGGGCATTGCACAACACCAGTGCACTTACCTACATGCAGGCAATACACAAATACACATAAAATAAAAATAACAAATAAAATTTAAAAAAATACTTAAGATCTACTCCCTGAGTGAGTTTCAAGTATATAAGACATTTGCTGTCATTACCATACTGCTCATCATAGCTCTACAATTTATAACTAAAATTTTGTACCCATAATACCGTTTTGATTATTGTGGCTTTGTTAGGGCTTTTTTGTTGTTTTATTTTGTTCTGGATTTTTTTTGTTTGTTTATTTGTTTTTTGGGGACAGGGTCTTTCATTATGCCACCCAGGCTGGGCTTGAACTCATGATCCTCCTGACTTAGCTTCCCAAGTCCTGGGACTGCAGATTTGTGCCACCACACTTGGCTGACTATTGTAGTTTTTATATTAAGTCACATTTAAAATTGGGAAGTATGAATCATCTAACTTTCTCCTTTTTAAAATTGTTTTATCTAGTTTGAGTCGTGTGCATTTCCATATGGATTTAGATATCAAATCATCAATTTCTGCAAAGGAAAAACATCAGTTTGTGGTTTGACAGGGATTGTTTCAAATCCACGGGTCAACTTGAAGAATGCTGTGATCCTTCTAATCCAAAAATATGCAGTATCTCTCCATATGTGTAGACCTTCTTTAATTCCTTTAATTTTCCATCTATGTCTTTAATTTGTTACTTTGTGTAGCAGTAACCAAATACCTGACAGAAACAACTTAAAAGACAAAAGAGAGTGTTTGTTTGCTAGACTCATGGTTTCAGAGAGATCTCAGTTCCTTGCAGCAGAGAAGACATGGCAACATGAGGAGACTGTTCACATGGCAGCAAACAGAAAGCAAAGAAAACAGGCTGGAATCTGGGGTGGCTATGGCCTCAAAGTCCCATCCCTTTGTGTCATACTTCCACTAGCCAGTCCCCACCTCCTAAAAGCTCCACAGCCTTAGCAATAGTCCCACAAACTAAGGACCTAGCATTCAGATATGAGCCTGTGGGGGTACTTCAGATCAACTCTGATAGTCTTATACTCTTTCTTATTACTTTCATTCATAAGTATTTTTTGCTCTTATGAATAGCAGTCTTTCTTTAATTTTATCTTTAGGTTATATATTATTAGCATATAAAAGTTTGAAGCCAGGCATGGTGGGGCATATCTGTAATCTTAATACCTAGGGCACCTGAGGCAGCCTGGGCTGTACCATCTAAAAAGGAAAAAAGAGGCTGGGAGATAGCTCATTTAGTAAAGTGCTTGCCACATAAACATGAGGACCTGAGTTCAGTCCTAGCACTCATATGAAAAGCTAGGCCTGGCAGTGTGTGCTTGTAATCCCAAAGCTGGGAGGTGGAGATAGATATATCCTTTGGGCTTACTGGCCAGCCTAGCCTAATTTGCAAGGTGCAGGTCCCAATGAGACACTGTGTCTCAGAACAAGCAAAGGAACAACAAAAACAACAAAATGTTGATGATTCTTGAGGCATGACCCCTGAGGTTGGCCTCTGGCCTCCATGTACACATACAGCTGCACATACTACTTATAAGATGGAAGGGGGATGGAGAGATGTATCAGTGGTTAAGAGTACTGGCTGCTCTTGCAGAGGATCCAGGTTTGGTTCTCAGCACTCACTTAGCTAACAACCAACCATCTGTATCTCCAGTTCCAGGGGATCTGATGCCCTTTCCTGACCTTTGTGAGCATTGTATGACATGGGTGCACTTACATACATTCTGGCAATACACTCATACACATAAAATAAAAAGAATAAATAAAATATTTTAAAAAGATGGAGAAAGGGAGGGAAAGAAAGAGGGATGGAAAAAGAGACAGACAGACAGATGGATACCCAGCATGGTGGTGCATACCTGTAATCTCAGTTCTTGTGGGGGCAGAAATAGGAGGACCGCTGCAAATTAAAGCCCAGCCTAATCTACATAGTTGGGTTCCAGGCTAGCCAAGCCTTGGATTAAGCCTTGGATTAAGACCATGTCTTAAACAAACAAACAAAATTTTCAAATAATAAAAATAAAGACAGAAACAATGAGTATAAAAGGAATATAATTTTTGTTTCTGTTGTATCCTTTGGGCTTACTGAAGGTGTGTAGTAGTTCTAGTAGGAGTTTTCTCATTCATTGTACCTGGATTCTTTAGCATTTTCTATATACAGGATCATATAATAAAGTTTCACTTCTTCCTTTTCGATTCACATGGCTTTATCGTTCCTGCTTAGTTCCTCTAGTTGGAATATTCATTACAATCTTGAATACAAATGGTTCAAGGAAACATTCTTGCCATGTTTCTGTCAGAAGAGGAAAACATTCAGACATTCACCTGTTAGCTTGTCAGATATGATAGCAGATGCTCTGTTCTCAGCACTTGGGAGGTAGAGGCAGGAGGATTGTGAGTTTGAGACCAGGCTGGGCTACATAGTGAGACTCTTCCCAGCACTCACATAAAAAGCCAGGCTTGGTGGGTCACTGTGTAATTCCAGGACTGGGGAAGTGGAGACAGACAAGTGGATCTCTTCAGCTCACTAGTCAACCAACCTAATCACTGAACTCCAGGTCAGTGAGAGTCCGGTCTCAAAATATAAAACAGATACCAAATGTCAAAAATCCTCCCCATGCACACACATGCACATACACTTGCATGTACATGGTGTGCACACAGACATGTATATACACATGCATCACAGTCACATTTTAAAAATAAAGAAAAAAAGCATGTTTTCTTCTATACTTATCAAGATGAGCAAGTGGTTTTTTCCTCTTTTCTATAAATATAGTGTGTAGTTCATATGGTAACCCAGCTTTCCATTCCTTGGATAGACCCCTTTTGACCACAGTGTATTATCCTTTTATATATGTTGCTAGATTTTAATTGTCAATATATGCAAATTTTTGTGTCCATATTCATGAAAGATGTTAATTTGCATGTGTGTGTGTATGTGTGTGTGTGTGTGTGTGTGTGTGTGTGTGTTATCTGGCTTTGCTATTGGGATAATAATGGCTTCATGGAATGAGTTTGAAAATGTACCCTTCTGTATTTTCCTGCCGTTTATAAGATTAATCTTTCTTTTTTTAATGGCTTGGTAGATTCACTGGGGAAGCTACCTGGGCCTGGGCTTAACTTTGTGTAAATATAATATCTTAAATTATTATTTTAGTTTCTTTACTTGTTATAAGTCTGGTCTCATTTTCTGTTTGTTTATTTTTATTTAGTTTTAGCATTTTGTGTCTTTCTAGGATATTTTCCCAATGTCTCTGTTCTAATTTGCTTTTCATTTCTGTGATCAATACCACAACCAGCAACAACCTGGGAAGGAAAGGATTTATTTGCTTCATATATCCTGATCATAGTCCATCACTGAGGGAAGCCAAGGCAAGAACTCAAGGTAGGAACTGAAGTAGAGACCAGAGAGGAACACTGCTTGCTGGCTTGCTTCCCCCTGCCTTACTCAGCTACTTTTGTTATACATCCTACCTTCCCAGGGATGGCATCACCCACAGTGGGCTGTGCTCTCCTACATCAACTATCTATCAAGAAGATGCCCCATAGGCATGCCCATAGGCCAATCTGATGGAGAGGAAATTCCTCCGTTGAGGTTCTCTCTTCCCAGGTGACTCTAGTTTTTGTCAAGTTAACAAAAGCTAACCAGCACACTTCTGTTTACATACAGCCAGATTATTTGGCTAGTACACAGTCATAATGAGTGTTATTTCCTAAGAGCCATTACCTGAGGGTGTCTGCTCTCTTCCCTTAGGCCCCCTAAATCTCCCTAAGAGTCAGGACCCCCAAATTAACACCTGGAACATCGAAGGACCTTCAGAACTCAGTTCCAGAATAATTGGAACCTATGCAGATTGGGAGAGTCCCTGTTCTTTCAGTTATTAACTATTTTAAACATCACCCCTTGGAACTGGAAAACTGCAACCACTCTGGGCCTTATTTTTCTCACCTTGATCTGGGGCCTATCGTGTTTCAGCATTCTACTAGGCAGGTCTGGCAGAAGGAAAAGCATCAAGTGATTAGGTAAGTCTGACTGGCAGTTCTGAGTACAGACTGAGACTCCTGGGAAGTTGAGCCCAAGGCTGGCAGGGAGAAGGTGGTGTATGGGGCCTGAGTCAATTTCTAATGAGATTTTTAAGTCCCAGGTATGGCTGTTACAAAGAAAAGAAAAGTGGTTGATGATAAGTGTTTAGCTCAAAGTAAGTGAACTGAAGAGGCCTTCAAGCTAATGGTATTCCTATGTGGCATAACACACACGGAAATGGGAGCATTTGAAGCAATCAGGTCCTTCCAGCCATCAGGCAGGTAGCACAACTCCTTTCACTGATTCAGAGACACACATTTCCTCTGGCATTTAAACATCTCTAAGATTGGCATATAAGCTGCAGTTAATGACCAGTGACTAACAGTTGTATGAAGTTGCAGTGTTCTGTAGTCAATGATATTCTAGATGAAATTCAGAGAATGAGTTAGGAAAATCGCGTCTCTCCATCTACCACATTCCTCTTGCCTTGAAAGAGATACGGATATAGAAATCTACTCTTATACAATAGGAAAACAACAACAGCACAGGAGCGATGACATGTGGTAGCTACTCTGTTGCTTCTATGCCCAGAATAGGGAGCCATGGCCACTGGTGAGCAAAAGAGTTCCCTGGCCTGCAGGGATGGCCACCTCTCTGCCCTGGATGATTGTTGCCTGTGGTAACAGAGGCCCAATGTTGACAGGTGTTCTGCATTTTCCAAAGAAGACAAAGCCCTAGAAATTGAGATCTTTATGTGAAACTCCTGTCTTTTCACTTAGCTTATAAAGCAACAGGTTGCCTGTGTCTTATTCACACATACTTAGCTTTGATCGATTTTCTAAGACCCCCTCCATCTCCCTGTTCCCTCTTATTCCCTTCTATACCCAGTTATTTCCTTTTAGACTTTCACATCACATGTTCTTTTACTCTCCCCTCCTCCTTCCCTCAAAGCTTCTTTTTGCTCACGTCTTGGGCCCCTTTCTAGTTTCCTGGCCTTTACTCACCGTTACTTCTTCCTAAATATACATATTTAACAATGAGAGTCTAGGACCCACATATAAGAGAGAACATATGATTATTTGTCTTTCTAAGCCTGAGTTACCACAGTTAGTATAATATTTTCCAGTTCCACCCGTTTCCCTACAAATTTCATCATTTCAATTTTGTTTACAGCTGAATTAAATTCCACTATGTTTATGTACCACATTTCCATTTATCTGTTGATAGATATCCAATCTGAATCTATTACCTTGTTAGGAACAGAGTATCAACAAACATGGTTGTGCATGTGGTAGAATATAGAGTTCATGGGTATATACTTAGCAGTGGTACAGCTGGGTCATATGGTAGTTCTATTTTTAGTTTTTTGAGAAGCACCAAGAGAAAGAGAGAAAATATATATAAACTTGTTTTAAGGAATGTAATATTAAGAGGCAGCATGAGAAAAAACACTTTTTTACAGTGAAAATGGAGACAAGAGACCCATTTCAAAGTTTAACATCAGGGTCAGAGGTCCACAGTAACAAATATTACTCTGGACATACTGCTTATATCATTTTAAAACTTTTTGTTTCTGCCTCCCTCCAAATAGAAAACAAGAAAATGTGTTTAAATCTTTGAAGACATTGCCTTTCCTGTTTATAAAAATTTATGACCAGTTTTAAAATGCAGACATAGGTTTCCAAAGCAACAGCATTTGTTCCCCACAGCTTGTAGACTGTGGTCAGTGCAAGGCAGTATGAAACAGATATTACCAAAGTACTGAAAGATTGGTATCCTGGTTCTGGCCCTCTGATGTTATTCAAGCAATTTAGCCCTCCTCCCTATTAATAAAATAGGATTAGCGGGATCTTCCCACTGAAACTCAGTTGTAGTAAGGGTCACGTGAGATTAAAATATGCAAAACCTAAAGTCCCCTGTAAATATCAGTTGTTGTGTTGCCCAAATCCTATGGGCATTTGGGAAAGCACAAGTGTTTGAATTTTAGCTTCTACACCCCAGTCTGTGGCTTTTTCTCTAAACTATAATACAAATTGAAATGTTCATCCCATCAGTCCAAGGGTTGAATAGTTGAAGAAGTATGAGGCAAGAGGATATTTTTTAATTGCCAGCCAACATCTTAGTATGCAAAATAGTATTGGATTTGTGTAACAGGCCTTAGGCACAGATAATACAGGAGTACCTCTGGTCACCGCTGGCCACCTCTGGTCACCTCTTCAGTGGTTTCTCAGAAATGAGAAAGTTCCTGGAATTGTGTATCAGCCTTGGTAGCTTTCTCACAGTGGGAACTCGGGTAGCTTCCCTCCCTTTCTAACATTTTCATTCCATATTGCTTAAGAAAAGAAAAGCTCCTTTTTTTCTTAGTGGACATGTTTTCCGGTGAAAATCTAAATCTGTATTTTGAACTTTTTCTAAAGACTTCTTTGGGTTGGAGAGATGGCTTAGTGGTTAAGAGTACTGGCTCCTCTTCCAGAGGACCTGGAGTTCAGTTCCTAGTACCCAAACAAAACCCTCTCTAACGACTGTTGGTGGCTAATGGTGGCTAACAAAACCCTCTGTAACTACTGTTCCAGGGAATCTGACACCCTCATCTGCCCTCTGCTAGCATTTCAAACCTATGGGTACACTCGTATACATGCAGGCAAAACACTTATACACATAAAAATAATAAATAAACCAAAAACTATATATATGATTTAAGTGGGTCTGGAAAAATATCTCAGCAGTTAAGAGCACTGACTGCTCCTGCAGAGGACTCAAGTTCAGTTCCCACCACCCACATAGTGGCTAACAGCTGTCCATAACTCCAGTTCCAAGGGGATCTGACACCCTCTTCTGGCCTCTGCAGGCATTGTACAAGTGCACTTGCATACATGCAGGCAAAACACACATACATAAAATAAATAATTTACAAAAAAGATGTATTTTTTAAAGAATATTTTTGTTATTCCAAAGAGAGGCAAGTTTTAACACATTTTCCCAGAAATAACTTGAAGCAAGTTACATAAAAAAATATATACAATGAAGTTTGAGGATAGAAAAGTAGGGATAAGAAATCAAAGACCAAAGCTGGTCATGGTATATACAATGAAGTTTAAAGGTGGAAAAATAGGGATAAATCAAAGACCAAAGCCAGGCGTGGTGGCTTAATTATGTGTATATTTGTGGGTATGTGTACATGAGTGCAGGTGCCCAAAGAGCCAGTCCTTTATTCTGACCATTCACTCTTTCCCACCCCAGGGCCACAGCAAACTCCAAGGCAAGTGAGAAGTCCAGTCACAGGGCACACTCTCTGGGAGTCCTGTGCCTTCCTGTTTGAGCTCTTCCTGGATGGATGTGTCCTTGTGTTTTTGAGACAGAGTCTCTCAGTGGGATCTGAGGCTCTTGGATTAGACTAGGCTGACTGGCTAACAAGGCCCAGGGATTCATCCGTCTCTGCTTGCCTCCATGCTGGGATTACCAGTATACACCATGGCATCCTGCTTTTTTTCAACCTGGGGTCTGGGGAGTAAACTAAGGTCTTCATGTTTGCATGACAAGCACTTAACCAGCTGAGCCACCTCTCCAACCCCTATACATTTATTTTTATGGAAAATGTACTGTCTTAATATAAACTGTACTAAGCGAAGCTCGATGAAATCCTGCATGATGGAAATTTAGACTTCCCCAATATTTGCAGTGATTACAGTTGTGATTTTAAGTGAAACAGTGACCCACATTTTAAATATTAATACCTACATTCACATTGTGATGTATATCGGGGAAAATGTAATTAGCACATTGAAGCTACAATGCCATTCATTATTTGTAAGACTAAATCTGAAGTGGGCATTTTAGGCTTTTTTTTTAAGTATATAGATTTTTTTTAAAGTTAACAGAAGTGTTAATGCAGGCTGAGCACAGTTATGGAAAAGTCATCAGGATGGCACCAGAATATCTGAAGTTTGAGGTCAGTGGTCACTCTGCCTCTCAGAGCTTGATTATATCATGTGCTAATTAAGGATCAATGCTTTTTCATTCCTTTTTTTTCTGGCAAAAATCTTCACTGGCTCACCATTATCAAGTCAATCAGACTATTAGCTTGAAACCAGTACATTTTAAGCCTGAAACCCAGCCTTCTGTTTCTCCTATAAGACAGGGTAAAGATAGGGTATGTCAAGCAGTGTTTGAAAAGTGCTGGCTCCGTAATAAGTGTGCCAGAAAAGAACCTCGTGGTCAAAAGTTGGTGGCTGGTCTATGATATTCCTTGGGGAAAGTCACAGAGGTTATCCCACACCAGTGGTTTTGAGACCTGAGGTGAAGAAACTCGTTCCTGTCTACCCATTTATTTTATTGTAGTTTCCTCCTTAAGTGGAACCAGTATTTCTGTTGCCACTCATTTCGTGGCTTCAGTCAGTGGCCCTCTTATCTAAACAGTGCATTAACATCAGTGACTCTGGTGTGCTCAGAAGCTGGCATAGAGGACACTGCTCGCAATCCATGGCCACCTCCTACAGCTCTTTGAGCTGCCAGCAGTTGCCCATGCATTCATTTCATGTTGCCACTTCCAAAGTTTTGCTGACTATTCCCTTTGCTTGGGATGCTTTCTCTTCTCTGTCCTCACTCTCCTAAATCGTTTCAGCTGAATCCACCAGCAGCAATGGCCCCCTTTCTGAAGCCTGACTAGTCACCAGGCTTCTGGCTGGTGTCATGCTAACATGTACCTGACCTTTTTGTCCTGCTAGATTTTACTCTCCTGGGAGTACTGTTTTTCACACAGTACATTACTCCATACCTTACTTATAGAACTTAATAAATAATTGTTGAGTGCATAATTAAGTGAATGATCGTAGGTGAAATTTAACATCTTGTCTGGAGCAAATCATAGACTAGAGTTTGATTTATCCAGGCAGGGATGGGGGGATGGGGAGGGATCTCTGAGAGACTGGTTTTATATACATACATACATATATAATTTATATATTAACATATTTAACTATAAATATATAAATATTAGATATGTGATTTTAACACCTTTATTAGCTGGCACAAAAGTATGCATATAGTTTGACAAATTTTGATGTGTACACCCATGAAACTACTAACATCATGATCATATCATACATCATCCAAAGTCCTTCATGCCCCCGGTAGTCCCTCCATCCCACACAGCCCTGTATTTTCCGCTCTTCTTTCTCTTCTTCTTCCCGCCACCACCACTTTTCAGTTCAAGGACACCACTGGTCTGCTTCAAGTCACTAGCCATTGGTTTAGATTTCCTCAACATTTACATGACTAGAATCTCACCACGTGTTCCATGTTGTCCATTTTCCCCCACTTTGGCATATCTCTTTTGAATTTACTTACATACCACAGTCCATCTTTCTTCATTATCAGGTATTTTTTTATTGCACAGCTATACCTCACTTTGCCTATTAAGTCATTTCCAGAACTGACATTTGAGCCATTTCTAGTTTGGGGCTCTTAAAAAAACAAACAAACAAAACCCTGCAACTGGGTATGGTGGCACTTTCCTATGATTCCAGCACTCAGGAGGCTGATGCTGAAAGATTAATGGGAGCTTGAGACCAGAGTGAGCTACATAGTGAATTCCAGGCCACAGGGTGAGACTTTGTCTGAATAAAAATAAACAAACAAACAAAACCGCAATGAACAGTTGCATATACATCGTTGTATGAACATAAGCTTTCAGTTCTCATATGGAATACCTAGAAGTGAAATGAATATATCCTGCACAAGCTATCTATTTAGCTTGTTATAAAATTGCCACATATGACACCAAAAAATGCAAACAATGAAAGAAAAAAAAGTAAGTTATTCAGGCATGGTGACTCACCCCTGTAATCCCAGCCCTTGGGAGGCTGAGACAGGAGCATCATGAATTGAAATCCAGCCCTGGTTATATAGTGAGAACTTGTCTTAATAAAAAAAAAGTAAAAACTTTTGTACATCAAAAGATGGTATTGACAGTGCAAACATAACTCACAGAAGGGAATGGATACCTGCAAATCATGTATCTTAGGGTTAAGATCTAGACCACATAAATAAGTTTCACAAGTCAAAACAAAAATAGCCAAGTTGAAAAATGGGGGAAGCACTTAAATGCAAATTTCTCCAGTGAACACACACACAAACACATGCACACGCGCACACACACACGTGCGCACATGCACACAGCCGGCCAACAAGCACATGAAAAGGTGATTCACATCACTAATCATTAGAGAAAAGCAAGTCACAGCCACCATAAGATAGCACTTCATACCCATGAAGATGGTGACACTGTAAATATACGTAATGCCACCTAACTGTAAAAATGGGAAATTTTATTATGTGTGTTTTACCATCATTGATTAAAAACTACAACAAAATATTTTCCAAAAAGAGGTACCATTTTACATTTGCACCAACAGTGTGTGGAGCTGCTTACCAATGCTTAGCACAGTCTTACTATTTTCTTATTTTGTCTTATTATTTCTTATTTTTCCCATTTTTTCTTATTGAGTGATGAGAGATCTTTATATAGTAAAAATTTATGTTTTCATTAGATAACATATTTTTAGGAAATATTTTCCCAGCCCATGGTCTGCCCTCTTAAAAAGTACCAATTTCTTTCGAAAAGCAGAAAACTTGAATTTCATGAAATCTAATTTGTCTTTTTACTCTTTGTAGGAGTCTTTTTGGTAGTCATGTTTAGGAAAGCTTTGTCTAACTCAGAATTATGAAGATTTTCCTATAGAACTTTTTATAGTTTTATATTTTAAATTTAGCCCTGTTTTATTTGGAGATAATTCTTGTGTGTACTCTGAAGTTTGTTTCAAAGGGTTCTCTTTGGACAAGTGAGTTTCTAGTTGTTCCAGTATCTTTGCTGAAGAAACTACTTGTTTTTCTTTAGTGAGTTGATTTTTGCCCCCTGTCAATAATCAGTTGTCTGTGTGGATCTAGATTTGAATTCTGTTCTGTCACACTGATCTGTCTCTCTTACCAGTAGTGCAAATGCTTTGCCATCTGCAGCTTTATAATAAAATTTTGGGAAGGCTCATGTTGATCCTTGAACTCTGTTTTGCTTTTACAAAATTTGTCTTGGTTTATAGGTTCTTCACATTTTCATATGAATCTTAGAAATTTTGTCAATTCCTACCAAAGATGAAGAGTCATGCAAGCACCTGGATTGGGACAGATCTAAACATGTAGATCAGTGTGGGGGGAACTGTCGTCTGAGTAATGTTAATCTTCCATGAACATGGTATATGTTTCCATTTCTTTACTCCATTTATTTCTCGTGGTGTTCTGTGGTTTTAATTTTTGCACAGGTCTTCCTTATCTTTTGGCAGACTTATTTCTATATTCTATTTTTTTATACTAATGCACATAATACTGCATTTTAATGTTATTTTGATTGTTCATTGCTGACATACTCTATTCTCTTGCATAATGATCTTGTAAGCTATAATTTTACTAAACCCATGACTTAGTTTTAGTAGATTTTTATTACATGTTACCTCAGGATTTCTCCATAAAAGCCTTTGTAAGTAAAAGCAGTTTTAGTTCTTCACTTCTGAGCTGGAGGCCTTTTGCAACTGTTCCTTGATTGGCTACACTGGCTGTGGGCTCTATTACAATGAATTGTTGGGAGTTGTTATGATCTGAGAAGTAAAGCATCCGGTCTTTCACAGTTAGATCCAACACTAGCAGTAGGTTTTTCACAGATGTCTTTAATGAAGTACAAGTCTATAAGTACTTTGCTTAGAAGGTGTTTTTTTTTTTTTTTTTCCCAACCAGGAAAGGATATTAGACATTAGATTTTGTCAAGTGAGTTTTCTATGTTGATTGTGATATCATACAAGTTTTTTTCTCTTTTAAAATTAATATTGTAAATTGCCTTGATTGATTTTCAAGTGGTGAGACAGTCTCCCATTACTCAAATAACAATGCTTGGTCCATGCTATGTTTGTTTTTTGTTTTTGTTTTGTTTTTTTCCTTTTATGTTGGATCAAGATTTCTACAATTTTGTTGTGAATTTTTTCATCTATAGTCCTGAGACCGATTGATCTGCAGGTTTTTTTTTTCTTTGTAGTGTGTTTGTACTGGTTTCAGAGCAGGGCCTAATTAGAATGAGTCTTATATTCTGTTTTCAATTTCCTGAAAGAAGCTATGTGGGACTGATATTTTAGCTTCCTTAAATATCTGATAGAATTCACCCATTGTCTAGGTTTGCAGTTGTCTTTTTAGAAGATTTTTAAAATAAAAATTTATTTTTTGGACTATTTGGGTATCTTTTTTTTTTTTTTTGAGGAGGTGAGCTTTGGTAGTTTGTGACTTCAGTATTCACTTTTTATTTGAGACAGGATCTCGCTATGTAGCCCCAGCTGGCCTGGAACTCCCTATGTAGACCAGGTGGCCTCAGACTCACAGAGATCTACCTGCCTCTGCCTCCCAAGTCCTGGAATTAAAGGCATGCACCACCATGTCTGGCAGTTTGTGATTTTAAAGGAATTTATTCACTTATGTTTATAGAGGAACTTGTCATAAATATTCTCTTGGTAACATTTTCGAGTTTGTAGCATTTGTAATACTGACTCTCATTCCTGCTAGTGATGACCTGTGTCTTCTCACATTCTTTCCTGATCATTCACATTAGAAATCAATGTTACTAACTATATATACATATATTATATAATACATTATATATTGCTATAATATATAATTATGTTATTATATAATATACATTATAGCACTCATTCTTAATGAATAAGGAACAGTGAAAATCAGCCTGAAACTTTTAAGAAAGAAGTCAGTCTAGCTACTGTGCCCTTCGGGGATGCAATATTTCTACTTTTCAAGACATCAGAAGTGTAATGTTGGTATTTTCCTAGATTAAATATAAATTTCTAGAGAAAAGTATGAATTTCTAAAATGAGTATGAAATGATCATTTAACACCTTTACTTTTCTTTTAACAATTAGAGGATAATATATATAAGAATATGCAAGAATCACAGGAAACCCACATATCCAACCACCTTGACGAAGTTGTTCCTGCTGTCAGCATCACTGCTAGAAAGAAAGTCCCAAACGAGCAGCTTCAGACAGTGCTGTTCCAGCCTCCGAGAGAGAAACTTCACCTCTGTGAAGAGAGGGCAAAGTCCTACTCCAGCAGCCAAGAGGTAAGGAGCCTGGGGTTCTACACCCTTTCATGAACTGAGCTGCCATGCCCTGTCAAGAGAAACAAGGATGATATGATTACATTTCTAATCTCAGGAGTGAGATACAAGCATCCTTAAGAGAGAGCCTAGATTCTGTTGTGAGCATAGGATGTCCCACCCTATGCCCAGCAATTGGCATGCGAACAATAAATGTTTACTGAGCACAATGGTCAGCCTTCATCCTCAACCTGACTGGATTCAGAATCATTCAAAGACAGGGAATACCTTCTGAGTGTATCTGTGAGGGTGTTTCCAAAGAGGGGAAAAGACCCACCCTGTGTGCATGAATGGTACACTCCTGTGGACTCCAGCTCAGAGGAAAAGGAGAAAGGAAAACCCTTGCTGAGGGTTGACAGCCCCCTTTTCTTCTGGACTGCCACGGCAGTGGGCTGCTCTGCTCTGCCACACTCTCCTTATCAGGATAGACCAAGCCCTCTGAAACCCTGAGCTAACATATACCTTTTCTCCTTTGTTTCTGTCAGATATTTTGGTCACTGCAACAAAAAAGTTAACTAGCTGAGCTTCTACCACACACCTAATCTGTGCACTGGAATACAGCACAGAATACATGAAGCTTCCACCCGGTACAGTGCTTTGCCTCACCCCTAATCCTCTTCATTTCCTTGTTTTCTGCTTGCTGCTTTCGCATTCTCCCCTCACAGTCTTACTCATCACATATTCATTCTACATGTCAGGGCCTGTCCATTCATTTACTTCACATATATCTATTGTATACCTAATGTTTTCCTGGTGTTGTGAAGGTGCCAGTGGCACAGAGGGGAAAACCACAGCTCCTGCCTCAGAGACATTTATGGTTTGGTTGAGATGGTAAAAAGGTGGACAAATAGTGGTGGTTAGTGTGATAAGTCCTGTGACAGGCTCATTGAAAATCAGAAAGGAGTGGGCAATAAGCCTGGAGGTCAGGGGGTGGGGGCAACAATTAAAGTACAGTTTGTAGGATGTGAATTACTCAGGCTACACTGGAAACAGTGCTTAGGAGTCCACCAGGTGAGGAAGAGGACAGAAGCCTTCTGGCCAAAAGTGATAGATAGATAAGCACCAAAGACCAAAGGGAGCAGAGTCTAATTGAAGAATTATGAGGAGCTGTCTGGGGCAAAAGTTTTAGTGACACAGTGTAAGACATGAACTGAGTTCGGATACAGTCTGGGTCCTGGAGGGCCAGCCCAGCAAAAGTTTTGATGTTCTCTGAAAGGGCCTGGAAGATCTTAGAACTGTAGGCAGAAGGAGGCCTTGAGCAGATTTGAACTGTAAGAATGATCACTCCCTAGCTATGTATTAAGTGGATGAGAAAAAAAGGGGGGGATATGCAAGGAGATATTTGCAACAATCCTGGGAAAGACATGGAGGACTGAACTAGGTAGGCCAGGCAGTTGAGATGTTAAGCTCTTTTGAAGGGAGCATAGAAATGCTAATCAGTGGGAGTGGATAACACAGGGAGCGTGGGAAATGGAGAGGTGAGCGAGGCAGAGGTGAAAAGGAAAGGGTTTAATTTAATTTTACTTTTGTAGTTGTCTGGTATTGTTTCTATTATTTAATGACTGATTTTTTACTTTAGGACATAGTAGTTACCTTATGAATGCTTACTAAAATGGAGACCACCAAAAACCTCAGAGCTATTTATACAGGGGGAAAGAGCATCCCCTAGAGGGTCCTTAGTTTTATTCATCAAAGAATTTAAGAATGGACCCAAATGGAAGCTTTAGGACAATTTTCTTAGAATTTTAAAGTAAAATCCTCAGAGCAGACAAGCTTGAAGAGGAGAAAGAAAGGGAGAAGGAAAAAAGCCATGAAGCCATGCAGGTTTAGAGCCTGCGTAGAAGTCACACAGCCAACTGGCAGCCACAAGGCAGGGAGAAGGAAGCTTTAGAGAAAAAGTAAAGAAATACAAGGTGCTGGGGCAGCCCAAACCATTAGAGAAAGCATGCTTAGAAAAGGGATAGGAAGAAGAAAAGGAGAGATTATGCTTTCCTGAGTTCTTCAGAAAAGCAGGCAGACTTACAGAGAGTGACGTGTCTGTGGATAGGACTAGAAACACTGCTAAGAGGTGGGATTCCAAGTAGGAAAAGTTCACTATCTCATTAATGCATTAGGTATTCCACCCATCTATTTGGCATGACTTAAGGTGAACCTGCCTTCCTTGGGGTTGTTCTATGGCCAGGTGATTGATCAGTGAAACTGGAAAGGTGTGTCTTCCAACACACTTAAGATTTTATAGTCTTCACTCTTATAGGGCTTTTTGCTATTCTCATTATCTGAGAAAATGAATGTCATAGTTATCTGGTTCAACGCCTGTTTGCAATGATCCTGCCTGCAAAGCATCAGCAATAAATTCTGTTGTAAGGAGCGTTTGAAGGCCTGTTTTTAATGTCTGTTTAATATCTTAATATCTGTTTCTGTAAACACACCTAGGGCCTTATGCCAGTAGTCATACTGTAAGCTGCTATTTAAACCCACCAATGAATGGTCTAATGTTAAGACATTACATGGGGAAAAAAAAAAAAAAAAACTGTGAGAACAGGTTTCCATAACTCCAGGCCCAGAACTTCAGAATGTTAGCTCCTCTGGTCTGCTGGCATAAAGAGAATTTTCCCACCTTTCAAGTAAATGCTTGGTTTCTTAGCTGCCTGATTTCCATAGCAGACAGGGTATATGGAACTCTGATTTAGATACCTTCTGCCTGGGGGACTGGGGGCATGCCTGTACCCTTCATTAGTGTAGTGAATAGAGGGGGAATTGTGGCGAGAGGGCATGAATTTGATTCTGCATCTGTAAGTATTCATTGTGCAGCTGATGTGTATCCAGTACCTACTTTGTGTCAGGGCTTATGCTGAGTAAGCTCTTGGCCAGCTTTTTAACCAAAGTTCTCCAAGAGAATTAATACCTCATGCACAAGTCCTTTAGCATGTATAAAGAATGAACTTCCCTTTTGTGTCTGGAGTGCTACAAAGCACTTGCGTGTTCTGTGATTCTAATAAGGAAGCCTAGGCTATGACAGTATGGAGCTGAGGGGTGATTGGCACTGTAAATAAGTCAGAGTTATTGATTGTGATGCATGCTAAGAAGGAAGTACAGTAGGTCCATCTTGGGCAGGGAGGGCCTCTGGAGGATGTAGCCAATGAGCTGAGAACTAAGGAAGAAAAGGGGCCAGCACAGTAGAGCTGAAGCAACAGAGTGAGAAGAGGAAATGGCACATGGAATATCTGCAGGGTGGGCACAAGTGTACCCTGTTTGAAATGAAGAGGAAGCCACTGGCTGAATTAGTGGTTAGGGAAGCAATCAGTTCAGTTAGGCCCCTTGCAGGTTACAAGCTGGCAGCCCTAGGAGATGTTAGACATTTCATCAAGGTAGCCATATGGTGTAATTTACTTTCTAAAATATCCGTTTCTGGGCAACTATTTGTTTGCCTGCCTGCCTGCCTTCCTTCTTTCCTTCCTTCCTTCCTTCCTTCCTTCCTTCCTTCCTTCCTTCCTTCCTTCCTTTCTATACTGGACATGGACTATCTTGGAATGTCTTGGGCATGTTAAACACAAGCTGTGCCACTGAGATACAGTGAATTCATTCATATCTTCTCTCTCTCTCTCTCTCTCTCTCCTTCTTTTGCTCTCTTTTCCCCTTTACTTCATTATTTTTCTCAACTGTCTAAGAATAGGCTCGAGATACCATATGTTCCTTCACTTCTAAATACTTCAATGTCTCTTCTTTAAGAATAAGGACAGGGGCTGGAGAGATGGCTCAACAGTTAAGAGCACTGGCTGTTCTTGCAGAGGACCTGGGTTCACTTCCCAGAACCCACATGGCAGCTAACAACTGCCTGTAACTCCAGTTTCAGGGGATCTGACATCCTCTTCTGGCCTCTGTGGGCATTGCATAACATGGGTGCACTTACATACATACATACAAAACACTCATACACATAAATAAAAGTAACTAAGTAAATAAAAATTGTTTAAAGAATAAGAACACTCCCACATAACCACAGTACATGATTCAAATTAGGAAAGTAATATTGGTGTGATACAATTATGTAATTTGTAACCTTATCCATACTCTCTCCAGTAATGTTCTTTTTAAAACTATTTTATTTATGGGCCAGGCATGGTGGTGCATGCCTTTAATTCTAGCACTTGGGAGGCAGAGGCAGGCGGATCTCTGAGTTCGAGGCCAGCCTGGTCTACATAGCAGTTCCAGGTCACCTGGGGCTACAGGGAGACCCTGTCTCAAAAAGACCAAAAAAATTTTTTTTATTTATTATTTTTATTTTATGTGTATGAGTGTATTGCCTACATGTATGTGAGTGCACCTACATGTATGTGTCGTTCAATGCCATGGAGGTTGGAAGAGGGCTTTGGATTTCCCTGGAACTAGAGTTAAGGACAGTTCATAACCACCATGTGGGTGCTGGGAATTGAACCTGGGTCCTCTGCAAGAGCAGTTAGTACTCTTAACCGCTGAGCCATCTCTCCAGCCCCTACAATAATGTTCTTTAGAGAGATAAAAATAAAATTCATATATAGATATGTGGGTTCACTCTGAATATAGTTGCCTGTCTCATCGGTTTCCTTTAATCTGCAGCCTTTATCTTTCACACACTTGATATTTCTAGTTGTGTTGTACGATATGTCTTCACTTGAGTTTGTGTTATGTTTCACATGATTAAGTTTTGATTATACATGGGAAGCAAGCACTACTACAGACATGACCTCAGGACCCCTTCACTGTATCTTGGGGTGAATAATGTCTGCTGTTCTCACTGCTATGGTGTTCAGCTTGAACACCTGGTTAAGGTGCTGTCTGGCAAGTTTGCTCCCCGTGGAGGAGTTATTGTTTTTCCCTTTGTAATGAGTATTTTGTGGCATACATCAAGACTATGTACTTTAGCCTTTCTTCCTAATTTTGGCATCCACTTAGAATCTTCCCTGGATCTATTATTTCTGCAATGTTAACAAGGAACAAACCTCTGAGGGTCTTTGGTATGTTGCTCTGTTGTAGTTAGTGGGAGTGAGGCCCTGGGTTCCATCCCTAGCTCTGAAAAAAATAAAACAAAAAAGAAGGGAGGATCACTGACATATACAGTGTTTCTATATACTCTATTATGGGGATGAGCTGTCCTTCATACTTTATTTACTATTCACTTACTTATATCAGTGTCTTTCAGAAAGTCTTATTGTAGAAATTATGTTACAACCTATTATTTTCATTGGTGCTTAACATGTCTGATATTTACCATGGGAGCCCCTTTAAACCAATTTGATCCATCCCCTCATTTTGGAGCACTTTCTTGATTTCTACCCAGCAAGATTTTTCAGGTTCATCTTGGACATCCCTGATTCACCCCTGGGTTCAGGGAACCATAGCTCCTTCTATCCATATAGGCTATTCAGAGAGTGAAAAATTGAAAGAGCCTAAATGCTGAATAACACTGGATTGAAAACGCAATAGATATAGCCATACAATAAAAAGTGTGTTTCCATTAAAACTTCCATCACAGAAGATGACATGCTAGGTGTGGTGGTTGATATTGTAATCCTACTACTTGGGAGGCTGAGGCAGGAGAATTGCCATGAGTTTGAGGCCAGCCTAGACTATATGCTGAGTTTAAGGCCACCCTGGTTAAAGAGACTCTCAAAAACATGCAAAATGTTCTTAAAATTGCTTAAACCACAAGTTCCCCTAATGATCACATTTTTACAAAAAAAAAGTAGATAGATACATAATAATAAAGGAGAAAGTGATAGGGATATTTACCATTTGGTTGTCTGGATATGGGCTTCCAAATGATACTTAGTTTTCATACATTTACTCATGCACCTTTTGACAACAGCACCTATCACTTCTGTAATAAGAAACACATTACCACAGAGAAAAGCTATGGCCTTGCCTTCTTTTAGCACTATGGGGGTGATCACTTTGTCCCTCAGTTCCTCCTATTAGGTCACAAAGCACATAGTCAGGTTCCTGTGGTAAGCTGGATGTGTGCTTTTACCAAGGAGACAGTTGTTTGGAAGCAAAAATGTAATCAGTTGGCATTGCCTGAGTATAGCCAGGGTCTTCTGGGTTTTCTCTGACCTTTTCCTTGGTTTGCGTTCTCTTCTTTGTCCCTAAGGTTTGCCTTCATCAATTTGCTTACTGCCCACATCTCCTTTTGCTGTTCTGGCCATCAGTTACTATATGTTCTGGTTTGTTTCTTCATTGCTGTGACAAAATACACTGACCACTACCAACTTGGGGAGGAAAGGGTTTATTTAGTTTACATATCCCAGGTCACAGTTCATCCGGGAGCCCAAGGTAGGAACTCAGGGAAGGAACCTGGAAGCAGGAGCTGGAGCACAAGCCATGGAGGAATGCTGCTCACTGGCTTGCTCCCCTGGCCCCTGCTCAGCCTGCTTTCTTATGCAACACAGGCCCACCTGCCCAGGGCTGGCACCACCCATAGTGGGCTGGGCCTTCCCACATCACTCATCAAGAAGATGTCCCTCAGACATGGCCACAGGCCAGTCCAATGGAAGCATTTCCCCAATTGAGGCTCCCTCAACCCAGGTGTATTAAGTTGACACTAAAGCTATCCGGCACACTATATAACACCCCAAAACTTAGTGACCTGAAACAAACCATTCATTTGTTCATGAATCTACTCTGGGTACAGGGTTCAGTGGGTTCTGGTCAGCTGTGCTTCGCACAGCATCTGCTGGGCTCAGTAGCATGAAGAATCTGTTACCAAAACAGTTCATATGATTGACCAGTCAGGGTTTGTCTTTGTTTTCTTGTTGCTGTGATAAAATATCCTGAAAAACAACTTAAAGGAGAAAGCATGCACACATTTTAGCTCATAGTTCAAAGTACAATCTGTCATGGTGGGGAAGTCAAGGCGGCAGGAGCTTGAAGCTCTGATTGTATTACAACCACAGTAAGAAGAAGCAATGAAAGTATGTATGCTATGCTGCTCAATTCTCTTTCCCCTTTTATACAGCCCAGGACCCTAGAAAGGGTGCCCCTCAGTGGGCAGGTCTTCTCACCTCAATTAACATAATCAAGATAGTGCCCCACAGATATACCCAGAGGCCTGTTAGGGTTCGGATCTGCAGCAACCCCCCCCTCCAGTGCAACAGGACCTCATGGTTTTACAAGCCCTCTGAAAACACAGAAGTGGAGTTAATGAGCACCCTGACCATTTGCAGACAAGATAAACAGACCCTTTACACCTTTGACCCAATACCCAATTGCTACAAGAGCTGTTTCGGCACAGCTTGCTTCCCTTTGGATAATCTTAGAAGATAAACAGACCCCTTATCCCATGACCCAGATCTGGGAAGGGAACAGAGGGGGGCAGTTTGACAGAGGCTATTCTCCCCTGATAAGCCCTGGGCTCTCTCTCTCCTGCCTAACTTTTTAAAAAAATATTTTCTTGCCTTCCACATCCTCCAAAAGCTCCTATAAAACCCCCCAGCCAACAGCCTGTAAACCAACAGCTCCTCTATCCCAAATGGGGAACTGTCCCCTGTGTTTTCCCTGCCCATAAACTCTATCCTGTCGGAGTTCTTCTCTGTGTCCTGGTGCTTTCTCCTGATTTGCCTTGATTTACCTATCAAGGCCCATCTCTCAGATGATGCTAACTTCTGTCCTTGCCAACTAACACTAACCATGGCAACACTGGTGATGGCTACCTTCCCACAGTGGTCTGTTCATGGACCTCCTTAGGCTTGCTTATTTATAGCCTACGAGTTGGTCCCATGTTAATTTGCTACAGGTGTCAACAGATTATTTTCCTGTACTTCTGGAAGATGAAGTTCAGGGTTAAGATGTTAGCAGGATTGATCCTAAGGCACCTCTCCTTGGTTTACTGATAGCTTTGTTCTCTGTGTCCACACGTGGTCACTATACACAAGGAGGCTGAGTCTTGTCCTCTTCTGTAAGCACATCAGTCATATTGGAGTAGCACTTTCCCTAAGGGCCTCTTTTTATTTTATTTCAAGATTTATTTTATTATTGTGTACGTGTTGGTATCTCTGTGTGTGTATGTACATGTACATATGTGTGGGTACTAACAGAAGCCAGAAGAGGGTACCAGAGTCCCTGGAGCAGTTGTGATTCAGCCAGCATGGGTGCTGGGAACTGAACTTGGGTCCTCTGCAAGAGTAGGAAGCACTCTTAACCACTGAACGATCTCTGCAGCCCCAAGGGCCTCATTTCACTCAATCACCTCCTGAAAGGCATTACCTCCAAATATACTGCACTCTGGGAAGCAGGAAGTCAGGGCTTCGACATAAGAATGAGAAAGGGACACAATTAAGTACTTTTCGGGTACTAAGAGTGACAACTAAGGAGAGACAGAAAGTGAAAACCATTAAATCCTTAAGATGTGGGCCTGAAAGTTGGCATTTCTTCATTTCCTCCGTAATCTATTGGGCCAGGCAGTCAGAAAGCTCAGATTCAAAGAGAAGGGGGCCATAGATTCCTATCTTTAATTGGAAGGCGTGTCAAAGAATTTTAGAGCTGTGTTTTAAGACATGCAGTTTTGCCATGAGTATACTGTTGCTCTTGGCGGACCTGGAACAGGGAATCCACAGTCACCTATTCTCTTTGTCTTGGCGCTGAATGAAAATGTCCTCCTCACCACTTAAATAAAGTGTCAATCAGGAACTGAGCATGATGGTGCACACCTGTAAACCCAGCATTTGAGAAGCTGAGGCAAGATTAAAAGGCCAGCCTGGGCTACATAGTAAGTTCAAAGCCAACTTGAAGTATATACTGAGACCCATTCTCCAAAAATAAAACAAAACAAAGTCTGTCAGACTTACTGATCTCATTTTTTATGCTAATGTCACAGGTCACTGTATTACTGTTCTTGTTGCTATGATAAAATACTTGAAAAAACAATTTAGGGAAGGGGGTTATTTTGGGTCACATTTGAGGGTACAGTCCATCTTGGAACAGGTGTAATGGCAGGATCATGAGGCAGTTGATTACACTGTATCCACAATCAGGAAGCAGAGGGAGATGAAAAAAGGATGCTGGTACTCTGCTTGCTTTTTCTTTTTTATTAAGTCTAGAATCCCAGCCTGTGGAATGGTGCTGCCCACATTCAAGGTGAGTCTACCTCTGCTAAACTTCTCTGGAAACACCTTCACAGGACATTCCCAGAGGTGTGTCACTAGGTGACTCCAGATCCTGTCAGGTTGACAATATCAATTATCATAGCTGCAAAGGACTTTAAAGTTGAAGGCTAAAGTGTGCTATTTGACAACCACTACCTCTTGCTCCCACTTTTGCAGCTGGACCCGCAGGAATTGTTCATTGAGGGTTAACTGGAAAACTTGAGGTGATCCAAGTCAGTTCTACTTGTCTAGTTTTTCTTTATCGCACCTCATTTTTCACCATTCAGTTGTATTTACTTATATAAATTGTTGTTTTTTTACTTTTTACTTCATCCTACCAGATGAACACTCTTCCACCCAAGATAGATCTTTGTTTGGTACTCTGATAGATCCCAAGTTCTTAGAACCATATACTGAGCATTGTAGTAAGCACTCAATAAATATTTATTAGATGAATATAATTACAAGTAGGCTTTATGACTCTTAAGTTTTTTTATATTTTATTATTTTTTATTTTATTTTATGTGTATGCGTGTATTGCCTGCATGTAGGTGAGTGCATCCATGTTGTGTAATGACCACAGAGGACAGAAGAGGCCGTCGGATCTCCTGGTGTTAGCTGCCATGTGGGTGCTGGGATTCGATCCCGGGTCTTCTGCAAGAACAGCCAGTGTTCTTAACTGCTGAGTCATCTCTCCAGCCCCAACTCTTGTTTTAAAGGTGTCTACCTAATAAACTCATTTTCTTTTCCTGACAGTACAAACGGGTTATCCCAGAGCTTGTGCGCTGTGTAGCATTGACAAGAATTTGCTATGGTGATTCCCACTGGAAGCTAGCAGAGGCACATGTAAATCTGGCTCAAGGCTACCTCCAGCTGAAAGGTAAGCACCTCACAGATCAGAGAGGATCAGCTAATCAGTTGATTGATTTCTACTTTTTCCCCCAAAATTTGATTGACACTAGAAAGATCAGGTTTTCATTGTTCTTTCCAAATACTAAGAAGATATTTACTTTAAGAAAACATCAATAAGGTATACAGTGAATTGATGTGAAGGGGAAGAAGGGAAGATTGTGATGTAGGTTGTTTTTTTGTGGTTCTTAGGAGATACTTTGTTAGATTAAAAGGTATGTGGAATAATCCAAGACACAGAATGGCAGCTTAGAATAGAATCCATGCATGATTTTCTCTTTTAGAAAAGGATTTATTACTAGCATGGCACATGTCTTTAATCCTAGCACTTGGAAGGTAGACTCAGGTGGATCTCTATGAGTTTGTGGTTAGCCTGGTCTACATAGAGAGTTCTAGGCCAGCCAGGGCTATAGTTAGACCCCATCTCAAAACAGCAACAACAAAAATATTTATTTATTTTAGTTTATGTGTTATGGGTGCTTGCCTGCATGTATGTATGTATGTACCATGTGTATGCCTGGTACTCTCAGAAGCCAGAAGAGGGTGTCAGATCCCCTGGAACTAGAGTTGCAAATGTAAAGTGTCATGTGAGTGCTGGGAACCCAACCTGGGTCCTCTTCAAGAATAGCCAGTGCTTTTAACTGCTGAGCTGTCTAGCCCCTCATATTTTTCTTAATGGAAACACACACACACACACACACACACACACAGAGAGAGAGAGAGAGAGAGAGAGAGAGAGAGAGAGAGAGAGAGAACACTAACCTCTTGACTATAAGTAACAACAAAAAAGAAGAAAGTCTAACCCAAGCTAACATAACTAAAAATGTGTTATCTCATACAACTTAAAAAATCCAAGGTGTGGCAGCTTAATTCCAACACTTGGGAGGCTAAGGCAGGCTGATTGCTGTGGGACCAAGGCCAGCTTGTTCTACACCATGAGTTCCAGGCCAGCTGGAGCTACAGGGAGACCCTGTCTCAAAATTGCAGAAAACAAAACAAAGCAAGGTAAACTTGCTTTAGACATAGTTCTATCTAGTGTTCAGACCATTCCACCAGGATTAATTGTTTTCTCACTTGCCTCTGTTTGTCTTAGTACTGGCTCTGTTCTTAACCAGGCTTTGCCTACATGGCAACAGCAAGGCTGCCAGCAACTTTAGGTTTCCTTTGTAAGCTTTGCCAAGAAAAAAAAATAATGTCCTACTAACTAAAACATCCCAGAATTTTGGAGGCATCCTATTAGACCAAGTTGGAGTATATGCCAAAGTGAAGACATAGCCTGATAGGCCAGACCCGACTTTTGGCTCAGGTGAATGATGGGGTAGAAGCTGTTTTGGGCAAGAGCACATGGATTAGGATGTGCAGGGTCAGCATCACAAGAGGAAAGCAGAAGGCAGGGCATGGATTTAGGAAGGCAAAGACAGGAGGTACTCGGGATATGATGTCTTCTGCTGACTATGCAAAGTTACAGGAGGTGTACTAGAGCAGCACCTCTCTGCACTCTGCTTCATCCACTGACTGACGATAGGATGTTGATGACACTTGCGTTCCAGAGTCCAGGGAATTACAGTACAACTGGAAAGCACCACAAGGCCAAACATAGAATCATTACTCTATGAATTTGACCAAATCTTATTACAAACCATTTTTACCTGCTAGATCAAAGGACAGTGGAGAGAAAGGGTACAACTGGAGACCATCTCATTTAGCATCCCCTCCCATTTCCTAGATTCAGGGAAAATGAATCTGAGTTGAAACAGCTTGTCCTAAATCACAATGTTAATAAGTACCCGACCGGAGAGTCAAATCTAGGATTTGCACACCAGTACCAGTGACCTGCCATCTGCTCTCCTTCACAGCCCACTCCTGTTCAGCATGAATCTTGCTCAATTTAAAGTCAAAGCAGTATTCATTGCACAGTGAGGTCTTGCCAAGTGCCAGGCACCATGCTGCTTCCCTTGCAGAACCTTATTCAGCTGCCCTGTGAGGGGCACTCTTATTATTCCTCCTACAGTCAGCGTAGCTGAGGCCAGTTTCTTAGTAAGTTGTAGAGCAGAGTGGGGGGCTCATGCTGGGGAGTCTTGCTGTAGAGTCGATGTTCTTGAAACTGAACCTATGCAGTCTCCAGTAGATTAAGTTCACATTCTTAAGGGAAGGGCTCTACTTGGAAATACAGTCCACTAGACCTTTTGTTCTGTCACATGAACAATGAACACTCATAAATTTCTAGCAATCTGATTAAGGTTGTGCTTTTAAAAAATATAAGACAGAATTCTTTAAGAGTTCCCACATAAAAAAAACATCGACTTGATTTCCTCCATTAGAAAGTATATTGTTTCTGTTTTAGAGGTATAGGAATGGAATTAGCTTCCTATTTTGACAGCTTTTGCAGAGAACTGAGATACAATTACATGTAATTCAGAAGATAGAGTTGAAGATGTACAGATAGGAGTGGAGAGGGTGTTAGTGTGGGGTCAGAGGATGGGAGCACGTGGGACGGTGCAAAGTATAGAATCCTAGCCAGTGATCCTCAGTGTCACCCTCCCATAGGTTAATTAATCCCTGGACGAACACTGGAACACACTGGGAGAGTAGTTCTCAGTAATAATGGTTTGGGGCTCTGTTTTGTTTCATATTATCTCATTCCCATATAGGAACAAGAGGTTGCACCACAATGGTCTGTTACCTCACTGGAATTGTGTTTCAAAGTTTCTATAGTTATTGTATTTGTGTTATGCTAAAATAACTTTAATATTTTGATTGTAGATGGGTGAGCAGAAGAATCAGAATTTTCAGTATTTCATTAAGACTGCTGTCACACAGCCAGGATCAAGATTCATGAATATCTTGTTTCCTGCCCAGAATGCTATAGTCCTTGTGTTCCATTTGTGTTTTGATCATTATTTATATTTTACATCTGAAACTGGTGAGGTTTCAAAGCTGTTCAGTTTCAGCTTGTTCTGCTTATTTTATTTCTAAAAAGGCCATTTTAGAAAATATCTTGAGTACTTGGTATCAAACAACTCTTTGGTTGTTACAGTTGGGATAATATTCCGCTTTCCAGGTATGTGTCTGTGTGCTATTTGACAGTATGTGGAGACCTGCTCAGATTTTTCTGGTCATAGAGAACCATATTCCTGTTCAACTGAGATTAAAGAGAAATTGACACATGTTTTCTCTGTCCTTAGGATTGTCACTACAAGCAAAGCAGCATACAGAAAAAGCCAAAGAAATCCTGGCCAACTCCATTGAGCCTCCCTACCACGACAATGTTGACGTGTTCAGGTGTTCCATAGAGCTTTTCTATACCATGGGGAGAGCCTTGCTCTCCCTTCAAAAGTATCCTTTTGCCTCTACTCTTTACAACTAGAAAATATTGTTAGTGTAATTCTTATAGTTAATTCTCAAAGTCAAGCAAAAAGGTGACAGGTAATAGGGTAATAGGAAGTATTACATGAGTAAAGAAAGTCCAGGACCTAAGGTCCCAGACTCTAGAACCAAGCAGAACATTTCCTGAATACATATCAGATATAAGGAAGCTTCAGAGAATTTGACAAAAGCAGAGAGACTTTCCAAGGAGCTGCTACAATGTAAAAGGATTATAAAGGAAGAGTGGGTAGAAAGCCAAGCTCGGATCAAGTTGTCATTTGCACAGTAAGTTTCCAGTTTAAGACTTTGTATGCAGGGGTGATTGGAGGCTGTTTGGCTATGTCTATGGCTTCTGCCAAAGCCTGTCATGTAGGTTCCGCCCCAATCAGATCAAACCTCAGTGACACTTGTCACTTGATGTAGAGTCACTCATATTCCACCCTACCAGCCCCGCCCATGGTAGCAGAGTTGCTGTCATTGTTCCTTTTGCTTCCTTCCTGCCTGCTCTACCACTCCCTGCTGCCCCTTCACCCTCCCCCTTTCACTCTCTCTCCCCAACTCCTCCCACAGCAGTGCTGTCCTTTATAGAAGGCAGCTTCATTAATGCAGAAGAGGGAGTCTTATTTTAAGGTTATACCTTAAAATAAGGTTGCTGGGTCACAGGGTAGCCACTCACTTCAAGTTCACTAAGCATCGGCCCAGTGTACCCAATTACATTCCCCCTTGCAGGACAGATGGTTCTTATTTGTTACATCCCAAACAATATTTGGCACTGTTATTCCTTCTAACTTGCCAACCTAAAGCATACAACATGCTATCCAATTATTTTAAAATTTGATTTGTATTTCTCTCACTAAATTAAGGAGTTTAAATACCTTTTTGTATGCTGCTGAGCCATTTAGTATTCCCCTTCCACAAATAGCCAGTTTTCTTTTGGAATTTTCTGTGCTTTTCATATGAACAATCAGGATTTGTTATAAATGTAAATTATATTGCACACATTTTCATATATCTATTACCCATTTTATTAATTTTTCTAAGGGGTTCTTCATGGCATAGAAATTATTTTACTAGAGTCAAATTTGTTCATTTTTACCTTTTGATGTATACTTTGGGAGTTCATTTAGAATGTATTTCTCACCCAGATATCAAAGAAAAATCTCTGTAGTTTCCCTCTAAGAACTGCTTTACCTTTACCTCAGATGTTTTAACATTTTATTATTTTTTAAATTATGTGTGTATATGTGTGCCTCCGTGTGTCTGTATGTTTGTGTATGTGGGTTCAGTACCCTCAAAGAGGGCATCAGATAACCTGGAGCTCTAGGTACAGTGATTTGAGCTGAACAACATGAATGCTGGGAACCAAATTCAGGTTCTTTGCAAGAGCAGTACGCACAGTGCCATTTCTCCAGCCCCCACCTCATGTTTTTACATACAGTGTGTGTGTGTATCACTGTCATTAAGTTCATAGTATTTCATGTCTTAGTTTGAAATTTTCACTTTAGTCCAAAGATTATTCAAAGATTATTTTAGTTTGAAGATATATGTGATTCTCTGAGGTATTTCAATGTTACTGATTTCCAGCCTTTGCATTATGAGTAGAAGCATGGAATTTCCTCAGATTTATGTATATGCCTTAGTGACTTGCTCCACAGTCAACTCTCCTGAATATTCCAAACATCACAGAAGAAACTGCATTCTTTATTTTTTTTTGTTTGATGACCTAATTAATGTATATTAAGTTGACTTCATTAATTTCTGATATTCAAATGTACATCTTAATTTTTTGTCAAATTGATATATTAGTTTTTAGGACAAATGTATTTAAATCCCTAAATATAATTAGTGCTCTGTCTACATCCCATGGTTCCTCTGGTCATTGTTATATATATTCTGAGACTATTCTGTAAATGGAGAAGAGAGTCAACAGTTGCATTTCTCCTTATCACTGTTAATCACTATTTGTTGGGGTTTATTTGCTCCTGTTTTAGTTTCATTTCTGTTGTGATAAAACACCCTCACTAAAAGCAATATAGAAGGAGAAAGATTTCTGTGGCTTATAATTCCAGGTTATAGATCATTATTGTAGGGAAATCAAGACAGAACCTCAAAGCATCACATCCACAGTCAAGAGCAGAGAGAGTACATGCATGACCCTTGCTTCCTTGGTACAATGCTCAGCTCTCTTTCCTCACTCTTTACGTTTCAGGGCCTGTCCACATTCAGCGTGGGTCTTTCTACTGAATTAACAGTCAAGACACCCTTCCCAGACATGCCCACAAGCCCACCTGATTTAGACAGTTCCTTAATTGACACTCTTCCCAGGTGATTCATATCAAGTTGATATGAATATGTCCATATGTGTGTAATCCACACATGGAGATTAGGAGTCAATATCAGCTGTCTTCTTCAATCACTTCTCCACATTATTGTTTGAGTCAGGGTCTCTCATTGAACCTGGAACTTACCAATTGCCTAGACTGGCCATCTAGCAAGTCCCCAGGGTCCTCTTGTTCCCACTTCCTCAGTGCTGGGATTACAGATGCTCACCACCATGACCAGCTGTCTGTCGGGCCCTTTATAGCCTTAGTCAAATATTTTTATTGTTCCATTTCCTATGTATAAACTTATAAGTTATACATTATCTTATTTTTCTTCTATAGAGTTTGTCACTTGTGTTCCTGACTTCCTATAGTTTGGTTGTAAATTAGTCATTGAACTACTTTTTGGATAGTGCAAGGACCTTTGAGCATGCTAACACTCTTTACCCCCTGCTTGGTGCCATATTGTCCTGTATTTAAGCACCATATATTTTATACCATGAGCAAACACAGAGAGGAAGAAGGTATTTGTAATCCATATAAATGGTAAGAGCTAGAAGCTAGAAACAACCC